AAAGTGTAAATGTGTAAACGAGTTGGGGGCGTGGCCAGAAGAAGCTTATTTGGATTTAAAGTGACAGAGGCCCTAAAACTATTTAATTCTCTACATTTAGTGGCATTAATTTCTCAGTTTTACTCATGTTCACTTTGATCCAATATTTTTTAATCTATGAATACTGATCCACTCACATTTTCCAAACAGAAATCTGCTAAAAGTTTTCACTTTTAATGGTCTTTTAATGCAACTTTTAGTGCAAATTTCATTTTCATGTTCATAACAGGTGTTATGATGTCATGCTTTTGACCGTCTCATGTCAGTCTTACAATCTCCTTCACATAAAATGTTGCCAATTTGAAAAAATGTTCAGAAATCCCTCAAATAGAACAGCAAATCAGAAAAAACGCCTCAAATCAACGATCAAACACGGCAGTGCAGGAGTCATGATATGGGCTTGATTTGCTGCTGCTGAGAAAGAAACAGCAAATCTGTGCAGAAATGATCATGTTAGACAAGAAGGAGAGAAAAAAAAACATGAAAATCTTCACAGGTTTTCTGGAAGAAAAACCTGAGGAGCAACGTAAAAATTCGCTGCTCAGAAAAACGGGTCAAACTTTCCTCCAGAGGGTAAAGCAGACAGAAAGTTCAAAATGAGGGACAGGTTCATATGGGAGGTGTGTTAACAGCAGAGACAGCTGCTCGCCGTCCCCCTGAGACACAACACCTGTCTCCATTCAGATGGACATCTGGACGTCCTTAGATTTGATCCTACTGACAGACAGACGCTGACAAGTCATCAGAGGAGTTCGGTTTTAATGAAGGGGAGCTTTTAGTAACCAGACTAGTTGGATCAGTTTGTAGAATCTGCTGGTTACTGTAAAATAAAACTGCAATTCTCGTTTCCATGAAAAAAAAAAGATATGTAGGGTTTAATGCATCAGATTAAATGCAAAAAAACAACTTTTAGTTTAAAATCAGGTTTCAGAAATCAGAAAGTAAGCTTTTTATCTTTTTTTATGTCTGCAGTCATGCATAACTGTGAAGTCGAAGGAAAAAGAGAGATTGGCTGAACGTCTTTTGGAGTTTGTCTCCACCTTCAGACTGAAACGTTTACGCCTCCTCCTCCGGAAAACAGCTGAAGCTCAGTCAGATTAAACGGGGTGTAATAATCTACCAATGGAACTAAAACCTTTCTATAAAAATAAGAAATTATTGACTTAAAACAAGCTCCTATATCATGCTGAAAAGTTACTTTAAAGTTAGTTTTGTCTTATTTTGAGGTCTAGTCAAAGTTTATTTATAAATTAGCTGAACAAAGTGCTGCACAGCAGTCATGACATCTGTTTTAAACTTAATTTAAATCAGAACATAAAATAAAGTTTAGTGAAAATAATGAAACTGGCAAAAAATACTAAAAATTAATACCAAAAAAAGTGTAAGATATGTACAGATGCAGTTTTGGGAGCTTCTTTTTTTAAAGTCTTTCTCAGAGTTTGTCTCTTTAGTTCTATTGGCATATTATTTCTCTTACACTGGGGAATATGTATTGTTATAAATTAAATAATCTGGCAGTGGAACTAGCACTTTTAAAATCTGTATCAAGGAATTAAGCTACTTATAAGTTCATTTAGTCTTTTTCCAAGTGTACTGAGATATTTGCACCAAAAATCCTTGGTAAAATGTTCTGTTTTTGCAGTGTAGATCAGCCACTGCTTCTCAATAATGCAAATTATTAGATTGTTGGGTTCAGATATTAGAACTACAACAATAATATGAGATAAAAAATAAGAAGAATGACTGCTAAAGCTGAAACCTGGTTTGCTTCTGGACAGTCCAGCTGCAGGTCGAGCTCTGCAGAGCAGAAACTCATCTTTGAACTTCTCACTCGGCTCAGCCGGGTTGTATTTGGAGTTTAAGGGCTATATCTGATATGAGAAACGTCTCATAATGGCACTGTTTCTGTTTGCCAGCCAATACCGACTCTGAGCTTCCAGCTTTATCAAGATCAAAGAGAACTTCTTCTCTTTCATCACCATAGAAAAGCACAAAACGTTGCATCATTTTATTACAGAGGCGCAGTCAGAAAGGAGGAGTGAGTTTGTGTTTGAAGCTTTCAAACCTGATCATTAGGGGACATCCTTTCATGTCCCCTTTAGGAGGATTATTTGCAATTTGTCATTTCTCCTGAATAAACATCACTTTTCTGTCTGACTTTTGCAAACTGAGAAAAAAAACAGCGAAGGAAAGCAAACCTCTGACTCGTTAATGAGCAGGTCAGACTTAGTTAAACCACTTTTATCATCCGTATAACTCCTGATTTAATCATGGGCTAAACTAACAAGGAGAGGTTTGCTTTGATCAGGAAAGTATCTGAATTTAATCATGATTCAGGTTCTGGCTTCAGAATATCTGCAAAGAACAAACAGCTAATTAGGAAGGAGGGAGGAAAATATCAGCGGAAAAAGCTCAAACACCGAGGCCTTATTAAGGTAATGGATGGCTGCTGATTAAGAGCAGGAGATTGTTGGGTTTGTGAGACTTCAGAACATTTAGAGATGAAATATGACAGACGGAGTGAAGAGGCATCCAGAACTTCATGGACTAATCTGTTAGTCTTTACAGCGCCTGCAGCTGGGTTCCCTTTAACGTTTTAAAGATGATAAATGGTCCATGTCGACTCTTCAAGCTGCATCTCGATCTGAACATCAAAACTTATTTCATGCATTTTCCATGAACATATAAGGAGATTCAGTAATGAAAATGCTGAACATGATTTAAAAGAAATTTGATGCCTTTAAATTGGGCCTCTGACTCTTTAAGAAGCTCCTACTCTTTCAGAGACTCATCACAGCAATGCTCCTCATCACGCCGTTTATAAACCCGCTTCGGAGCGTTGGATTGAGAAGTAGATTGTATGATGAGCTCAGCAGACTTCCAGCACCAGCAGGTGTTTCCTAATTGCTGCTGCCGCTAGTCTGAAGGAGCTGAGTGGGGGAGGAACATTCACTGAGGGGGCGTTTGTGAAAATAGGCAGCATTTTTTTTTCTTCAAGCATTTATGCTTGAAGTTTACAAATAGAGTTTGTAAGTTGTAAACTCTGGTTTACAACTTACAAAAATAGTTTTTTTGGAAATTAAGTTAAAAACATGGAGACTGCAATCATGGCAGCAAGTCAGCTGGAAATGAAACAATGTCAGAGGAACTAGTACTTTTTAAAATCATTATTAAGAAATTATTGGTCTAAAGCAAGCTTTTACATCTTGTTGAAAAGTTACTTGTAAGTTAATTTTGTCTAATTTCAAATGTACTGAGATATTTGCACAAAAATTACTTTGTAAGATTTTTTTTCATGTTTACAGTGTACAATTATTTTATTACAAGAAATAGAAAAATAGCTGCTAAAACTTGAGCGTTTAATATTATGTCCTCCTCCATGAACATTAGTAAGTCAGTAAGAGCTGCAGGTTGAATCTTTAAGCCAAAAGTGAAAATGCTCTCAATGTAAATGTATGAAAATAAGCAGAAACATCAGAGTTCATCTGCTGTTAGTTTCTACATTTTGTTTGCCGAGGCTTCACCGTGCCGACCTTCAGCTTTACATTACAATCCCGGGACAAGTTCAGGGATCTGTCCGCTGTGCGCGAACATGCAGAGCCGCCTCTGAGGTTAAGGAGCATCATTACGGACTAAACACAAGTAAAACAAAACACAGGCTCCCTGGTGCCCCACAGTCTGCCCGACTAAAACCCTGGAAGGATGGGAGGGAGGGGCCCGACTCAGAGACCCGACTGCACACAGCTCAGGAGACAATACGGAGGTTTATTTACACTCACACGGCAGGACTCTGTGTTTGTGTGCAGACATCTAAAGCAGTGGTTTTAAAAGTGAGACAGTGAGATGTTCTTTTTTCTTTTTTTCTTGAAATGATGAGAAAACCCAGTGAGCTCTGACCCAAACCCAGCAGGACTCAAACTGGGGAAGGATTTCAGTTTTCACACACAAACGGTTTCAGCAGAAGAAAATGAATCACCAACCAAATCTGACAGATCTCCAGACGACACCTGGAGAGCGTTTCCATGGCAACGGGAGGCAGGATGCTGACAGTGCACTGTAAAAACAAAAACACAATCTTATCAAGTATTTTTGTCTGGTTTCAAGTGTAAATAAATATCTTATACCTAAAATAGGATGAAACTGACTTACAGGTAATGTTTCAGCAAGAGAGAAGAATTTAAGTCAATAATTTCTTAATATTGATGAAAAATTTCTAGTTCCACTGCAAGATTATTTCACTTTAAACAAGATATTTTTCCCCATAAATGAATTAATCTTGGAACTAGAACTTTTTTCTCAATATTAAGAAATTAATGACTTAAAACAAGCTCCTATATCTTACTGAAAAGTTATTTTCAGTTTTTTTTATTTATTTCAAGTGTAATAAGTTATTTGCACTAGAAACCAGACAAAACCATTTGGTGAGATGTTGTGTTTTTGCAGTGTGAATGCTGACATTAAATCAAAACGCTGCACTGATCCAGCTGAGTTTATGCAGTTTTCATTTTATTTCAGTTGAGTTTTATAGCTAAATGCCACAATGATGGGAAACATTTGGAAATAATTCATCATGGATGCATTGATGTTAAATATAACCCGAAACCTAAATGAAGATTCATAATCCATTTTATTTATAGTTTTGCTTGTATGTGTGGGTTTTTATTTATTTATTTTTTTTTATCATTTTGTTTATTTTCTTTATTTATTTAAAATATCTTACAACTCCAGTGTAAAGTGATTTTGAACAAATTTAAATTTATTGATCTTTGAGAGGCTGATGTCCCATTTTTATGCCATCATCATCATCATCATCATCATCATCATCATCATCATCATCATCATCATATTACTTGAAAATGATCTCTAAATAATAATATCATTTATCATGATCATTTCTGGGGCAGCTGGTCATCCAGGTGATGCTGCTGGGTCATTTTTCAGTCTCTTCCTGTTGAGGAGGAAGCCGCTTTTGGCAGGACGGTTTGTGATGAAACACAGGGAGACGTCAGAGCAGCTGTTGCTAGGCAATCAGCCTGCAAGGTGCCTGATGCAGGCAGGAACTGGACGCATTGTTGATGAGTTGATAAAACGGTTTAATGGGAAGCAAAACAGAAAAACCCGAATTATACAAGAAATACGCAAAGCTGCGCAAAGTGAGTGCGTAAAGTTGGCGCTATCCTTGTGCGCAGAGGGCTCAGTGATTCCTATCAGCCTGCATGGAGAAAATGAAGGAAAAGTCATTTTATTTTCATGTCTGTGTCGTTTTATTGTACGAATATAAAGAATAAATAGTACATTTACCAAATTTACAAGATAAAACATGATTGTATCAATAATCAATAGTTCAACTCTGAGGTTGATCCGCTTCGTCCGACACAAAGTCCGTGCGTGCCTCTGTGCGCCACTTCTCCATAAATACAAAATATATAAAAGCGATATTCTGCACAAATAAAGTAGACTCTGGTTACAAATAATACTGACTTTGTACAGGAAGTTGGCCACGCATATACAGAAATACATTCTTACACTCTGTAGTGCAGGTGGGGGAATAAGAGGATAAAATGACCGAGCTTATAAGTTAGAGTCCCAGCAGTCCTAGCTGGAGCAGGAGCACTTGCAGTCCGTGATGACCGGGTACTGCACCGGGATCCAGGTGCATTTCAGCACGCCCTTCCGCTGCATGCAGCGCCACCGCAGCACCGTGAGGTGGGTCGAGTTCGCGGGTCTACAGACCATCCCCTCCGGAACGGAACACGACCTTTTGCTGACGCAGCCGCCGACCCGGACGTACCGAGGCCAGAACCTGCAGCCGAGGTCGGTCCAGGTGTGGACCACCGGGCAGAAGGTGTAGGCCCACAGCCACTGCTGCAGCCGCCGCTTCAGCTTCTTGCTCGGTTTGTGCTTCTTTCCGATCTGCACGTCGAAGTCCACCGCCCGGATCTCCTTCGGCAGAACTCCGCCCGCCTTCAGGATGTCGAAGTGATCCGACTCGTCGGAGCCGGAGTGTTTGTCCTCCACGGGGAGGGACACGGACAGGAGGCGGCCGTCAAAGTCTCCCAGAATGCTCCGGAGCTCGGTCTCGTTAAGGTCCCGCTCCTTGGGGTCAAAGGCCGGATCCGGGTCCTCCTTTAAATCCACCACCGGCAGACTGTCACTGGGGATGGGCCGGAGAAGGAAGAAGTGCTGACAGATCGCTCTGTCCGTCAGGAGTCCAAAAGACAACATCAGCAGACACACGGCAGCGCACTGCTGAGGCTGATCCATGGCGAGCCGCGGGATCAGCGCGCACACGGAGCGGAGAGGAGGCAACTTTACGCGCCGGCGGTCTCCAAAACTGCGTGTCCAGAATCCCTCAAAAATCACTTTTCCATCATGAAACTCCCTGTGAGCAGGAAAACATCAGTGACAGCGGATTTGACCGATCAGCTGAGTTCCTGCGCTCCGCGCGTCGCGGCTCGGCATGATGCTCCGCTGGCGTCCGCTGCAGAAAAGCGTCGAGGCGAAGCCGCCGCCTCCGTTTTATCCTCCGCTCGCAGCGTGAGGTAATCCCTGCGCCCCGCTCTCAATGTGGGTTTGTTGTCTAGGAGGAGATCCCCGATTCCTCCTCCTCCTCCCACCGCGCCGCCGAAACGCGAGAGGAGAGGAGACGCCCACTGTCGGCTTTCTGATACATTATTCAGACTTTCATTGTTTACGGCTGATGAGCTGATGAGCGGATCCTCCCGGGAGTTTCTGGAGAAACCAAATACTCAAAAAAAAAAAAAAAAAAAAAAAGAAAAAAAAAAGACGAAACTTTGAAATTCTTTACAGTTCATCAAACTGCATCCCCAAACTTTATGTAAATTGTTGAGATTCTGAGATTGACAAACTGCTAAAAGTCATTTACTCCCTCTAAGTATGGTAGTGGCAGTATGATGTTGTGTCCAAGAAAATGGGGAAATTCCGTTTACAGATGTGCAAAACTCCCACATACCTGCAGCTGGAATGGCAGCCAAATGTGTTTCTATAGAGTACAAATCCAAGCCGCACTTTTCAGAACCTTATCAGTTAAAAAAGTGAAAGTCTTTAATAGTTTTTTTTAAACTTCATAGGATCCACTAAGTTGTTTTGTTCTTTCACATAAAATCCCAACCAGTTCCTGCTGAGCCAAAAATAGCAGACGAAAATATTTTCATTTGGATCATTAAACCAGATTAGGTGGAATGAGATAAACTGGCAAAAACAGGAGAGAACATTGAAAAAGCAGCAATTATGCATAAATTTTTCAAATATTCATGACAGCAGCATAAGCTGTTGTGCTGCGTCTTCATTACAAATGAGAGAAAATCTTTGTCCAATCTAAAATTCCCATCGTATAGCTGAAGAACATCATCGTAGCACAAAAGCATCACTTAAAAAAACAAATGTTTCCAAATTTGTCTTATTTCCATGAAGCAAATGTATTATCATAATTCCAATTTGTGCAAATTTATGCAGCTACTGTTACTTGAACTTGTGAGAGAGAAAAGCCATTTCCAGGTGAAGTGGCTGCCAGCTGCAGTTTTCGCAGCGTATTTACTGTTTGTGTCCAGCTCAAGTGGGACAACATTTCTGGCAGCAGCGGAGCCGCCTCTCAATAAAGCTGCTCAAACAAGCAGCAGCAGCGGAAAGTATCACAATTTGTGAACCTGTCCAAACCCGAGTCGCAGTCTGAGAATCATTCCTTGAAAAATAATTTAATGGAAGAACTTAGCCAGCTGCTACATCAGCCATAAACCATGCACTCTAGATAAATGCATCTCTGTTTCATTTTCAATGAGCTAATTCACATGAGCATCTGAGCACACGACTCATTTAGTTTACGGTCAGATGATGGTGAAAAGTCTGGAAAATGTCAGCCTCATATTTTTCATCTGAGCAGCTCGTATCATAAACCATCGGTCCTGAAAGCGGCTGACAGATAGGCTCAATCCGGAGCATTCACACCGGGACGCGGCGGGTAAACAGCGGACACAAACAGCCTCAGAGTCCAGCGCAAAGTCTCATTCTCAATTACACGTTTCACAGATTTTAATAGTGCTGTGCAAAGGTATTTCATGTTTTGATGTTTCACATTCAACCCAATAAATGTTCCTTCAATTAAAAGTTTCGCAAAAGTCCTTTAATGCAGCCATATGGAGAGTTTCTGGCACGAACGGCTGGCCTCAGTCAAATATGAGTCGAGACTTTGACTAGGCCACTCCTCAACCTCATGTTTTTTGATCCTCAAACTGTGTTAAAACTTAATTTGCTTCTCAATCCTGATATTTTGATGCCATGTGGTGGATTGTGAAAAAATAAAGTTCAGATAATCCAGATCTGCTTTCCACACTCCTTCAATGGTAAAAAAGTTTTAAAAATGTCTAAATAATGAAAATAAAATACTTCAAAACTTCCTTTACAGACTTATGTACTCCTATCATTGCCAAAGAGCAATTGTAAACAGCATAAAGGAGAAAAATTGTCATAAGAGGTCAGAGTAGGATCTTCTTAAAGAGACAGAAGCCCAATTTCAAAGTGTCAAATTTTTAAGTCAAATTTCTTTTAAGTTATGTTTGATACATAAAACTGGAGGTAGCAGGTTGATTGTGCTTTAAAATGCCACAATATTCCTGGAAATTAAATACCGCCCCTTTAATGCGCGTCATCTCTGAAATGTTTTGTTACTTTTCAGTCCAGCCTTTCCAAAAAGTACAACGTTTGTCTCTTCAGTATTTCTGCTGATGTCTTTGGCGTCGTCAGGTTTTATTCGTAAACGTGAGAATGAACTTTCCGTTCTTTTGGGCCAGCAGTCGTTCTGGAAGTGAAGCCTGCATGCTGGAATCACACTTTATATTTTAAACTCGTTAGTCAATTTTCACCATTTTCAGTTGGTTTTTTTGAGCCACGTGGCAGAAGAATCACGGACAAAAGGTCTTCAATATTTTTTATGTTAAGAAATAATGAATACAGAGAAACTTCTCCAGCTAACAATCCGGGCGAGAGGCGGGGTCACCTGGGACAGGTTGCTAATCTGTTGCAGGGCGACGCAGAGACAGAGAGGACAATCCACCACACACACACACACACACACACACACACACACACACACACACACACACACACACACACACACACACACACACACACACACACATCGAGGGAGAATTTAGAGAGAGCAATTTGCCTGATTTTGGACTGTGGGAGGAAGCCGGATAGAACCCACGCATTCAAACTGCATGCAGAAGGATCCCGGGCCGGGAATCGAACCCAGGACCCTCTTGCTGCAAGGCAGCAGTGCTCCAACTGTGCCACTGTGCAGCCCTACAGAGGCACATTTCTATTAATATTTTAACAGTTTGTTAATGGGTTTTATTCAACTCTTCTTTTGATATGACCTGTCGGTGCTGACAGGTCATATCAAAAGAATATTTCTATATTTCTGTATTTATTCAAGTTCTTGTTTGTGACTAAAATTTGCTTGAGGATCTAAAAATTTTAAGAAGAACAAATAAAAGCAAAAACAAAGTGTATACATATATATACACTCCTGATCAAAATCTTAAGACCAGTCAAAAAATTGCAAGAATTTGCATTTAGCATTATTGGATCTTAAGAAGGTTCTAAGTAGAGCTTCACAATGTTAAAAGAAGAAATCAGCATAAGAGACAAAAACATTTGAGCGGGGAATTAATTGAAAACTGCATTTATACTCAAACATGATTTTTCAGCTGATCAAAAGTTTAAGACCATAGCTCAAAAAACCTCCAAAACCCCCCAAAACAGAAATCAAAGTGCCAAAAAAAGGATTCAGTAATGAGTAGCTCCACCATTCTTGTTGATGACGTCAAACAATCGTTTAGGCATGCTTGATGCCAGTGTTTCCAGGAGGCTAGTGGGAACATTGCTCCAAGTGTTGAAAATGGCTTCACGAAGGGCATCCACTGTCTGGAACTGATGTCCATTTTCGTAAACTTCCCTTGCCGTCCATCCCCAAATGTTCTCAATTGGGTTTAGATCCGGGGAACATGCAGGATGGTCCAAAAGAGTGATGTTATTCTCTTGGAAGAACTGCTTTGTCAGGCGGGCATTGTGAACTGCAGCATTGTCTTGTTGAAAAACCCAATCATTACCACACAGACGAGGGCCCTCAGTCATGAGGGATGCCTGCTGCAACATCTCCACATAGCCAGCTGCTGTTTGACGCCCCTGCACAACCTGAAGCTCCATTGTTCCATTGAAGGAAAACGCACCCCAAATCATGATGGCGCCCCCACCACTGTGCCGTGTAGAAAACATCTCAGGTGGGATCTCTCTGTCATGCCAGTAACGTTGGAAGCCATCAGGATCATCAAGCCAAAACTTTTTCTCATCAGAGAAGACAACTTTCTTCCACCTTTCAATGTCCCATGTTTGGTGCACCCTTGCAAAGTCCAAACGGGCAATTCTGTGGAGTTGAAGAAGACGTGGCCTTTGAAGACGTTTTTTGTTTCTGAAGCCCTTCCCTTGCAGATGCCGTCTGATGGTTATCGGGCTGCAGTCGGCACCAGTAATGGCTTTAATTTGGGTAGAGGATCGTCCCTTATCTTGACGGACAGCCAATCGGATCCTGCGGTTCAGAGCTGGTGAAATTTTTTTGGGTCTACCGCTTGACTTTTTTGTTCCATAACCCTCAGGATCATTTAAAAAATGCAAAATGACTGTCTTACTGCGTCCAACCTCAGCAGCAATGGCACGTTGTGAGAGGCCTTGCTTATGCAGCTCAACAATCCTGCCACGTTCAAAGTCAGTGAGCTTTTTTGCTTTTGCCATCTGGAGGTCTTGACAGTGTAAAGACTTCACAGAACATGACATGGAATCCAGATTTTTGCACAGCTTTTGGCTTTTAAGGACTATGGTCTTAAACTTTTGATCAGCTGAAAAATCATGTTTGAGTGTAAATGCAGTTTTCAGAAAATTCCCGCTCAAATGTTTTTGTCTCTTGCACTAATATTTTTTTAACATTGTGAAGCTCTACTTAGAATCTTCTTAAGATTCAATAGTGCAAAATGCAAATTCTTGCAATTTTTTGACTGGTCTTAAGATTTTGATCAGGAGTGTATTCCAAAATAAAGCTAAAATGACATTTCACGCGGCGGCGGAGCTTCGTTTGTGTCTGCCTGGGAGAATTCCCAACATGGTTCTCATTAGGAGTCATCGGGAGCGCCAGGCTCATTTAACGCCGAGTTGTTTTGGTTTCTTTTAATCCCTTCCTACTGTTTAACCACAGGAACACTCAGATAGAGGATCATTCCTCCTTAAAGCGCCAGCCCACTTGAGACAGACGCCTGCTTAATTGAGGTCTTTTTTCCACTCTTAAGTTAAGCAAACATGGTTCTTTGGGCTAATAAATTGCCCGATGTAATGAGCTCTTTGTTAAATGCAGGTCTGGTTCCTGAAGAGCTTAGGATTCAGAATTAATCTCCATGTTTGAGGCTGGCGCGGGTCACGGTGGCCCTCCCTGCTGGTTTCTCATTTACTGAGAAAAAACAGACTTGGGTCTTGGCAGCCATCTTGACAGCAGAGAGCAGCCGGCCGCTCAGGTAGCTTTCAAACCTTCATGCTTAGCATCTGAGGAGGGATTTTCTGCAGGGAGCAGTGTGATCCGTCCCTTCAGCAGCTTTATCTCGTAGTGGAAGCGCGCCGTTTC